TTTCGGTAAAAGCCAATAAGTCCTAGGAAACCTCTGATTTCACGTGTAGTTTTTGGGATGGGATACTCGATGATGGCCTTAATTTTGGAGGGGTTCGGCTTTACTCCTTCTGGTGTTACTATATGTCCAAGGAAGGCGACTTCTTTCTTGAGAAATTCAGATTTGTCTAATTGAATCTTCAAGTTAGTTTCTCGAAGTCGTTGAAAAACATTCTTCAGATTTATCATATGTTCTTGTAATGATGTGGAGTATATGATGATATCATCCATATATACCAAACATATTTTATTCTGGAGTAGTACGTTGTCCATCACTCGCTGAAAAGTAGCCGGAGCATTTTTCAGTCCGAATGGCATCCTGGCGTACTCGTAGTGCCCATTTTCGACGTTGAAAGCAGTTTTTGGAATGTCCTCTGGGGCCATTTCGATCTGATGGAACCCGCTTGCCAAATCTAATGTGGAAAAATACTGACACCTTCCTAAGTAGTTAAACTATGACAGCCTCACTATAGGAATAGGGCAAAACCATGTGTTAGAGAGAGAAACTTGAAAGCCAATGCGTCAGAGAGAGAGACAGAGTGATAGTGACGTCACACCATCATCGTCGGAATGAATTATTAAATTTAAAAAAAAGCTGTCGCCGCTGGGTATCGAACCCACGGCCCTCGAGTTATGAGGCGGCAATACTCGCATTACGCTACCAAGCGTCCTAGAAATTGCAGTATGATACTGATATACAAACAGGATGTTTTTATCTGACATGTTGTTGGAAAATAATATTATAAATAGATTTGAGTTGGAACGTTGATCGCATTTTCGATTTGTGGTGTTGCCATAGTTGCCATATAATAATACTAACATCCCCGATTTTCATAGTGAATAAAGAAGAAAATATGTCTATATACTGGGTGTGTATTGCATTCCGGTGGAATAGAACGGAAAAAACATATTCCATTGCCTAATAAAGGGGGAATTTTTTTATAGAGGCATTCCAAATATTGTTATTATGTGGGGGTGAATCCTTTTCATTATGAGGTCGACCAAAAAATTTGGTGTACCTTATGATAGCTGACATTTGACGTTTGGCAGATGACGTATGTCATTTTCGGTCGAGATATGGAAGATGTAATACTCAAAAATAATCAGTACCAATATGTCTTCTGAAGAGTACAGACGCAGACTTGAAGAATTTTGCAGATTGGTGCGAGAACTGGCCAAAGATATTGAATTTTACGAAGAAAAGGAAAAGGTCTTGAGAAATTTGGTAAATTTGAGTGTTTGGGATACAGTTTTAACAAAAAAACGTAATATACCTCAAACAAGATACCCATTACGACGCATTGAACCCACATCTCCATCCCCCTCACATCAGAATAATGGCCATTCTGCGCAGGAATTTCATAATACTCACAGCAATCCTGAATAATATGTTGTATGTGAATGTACCGAATAAGGTTAGAGAAGCTGGGATTTGTTACAATAAAGAACCATGCCAGTGGATGGTTATGAGAAGAGGATTTATCAATGATGGTCAGATGGAAGTGTTCTCAATGGAAGTGCCGAAAAACGAGACGAAATATAAAATTCGATTGATTTTCGACGATAGAACCTTTGGAGATTTAGGAGAATGGCAGTTTTTTGAAGATCCAGGAACAACATTGCCCCCACCACCACCTTCAGCACCAACGGCCCTAGTTGATCAAGAAAAATCCTTTGTAACATTACACATTTTATCATATACCAATTTAGCATTTCTAGTTGCAATAATCTCGATTAATATAGTACAATTCTTGAGAGAGAAATAAATAACAAACATTTATAATCTGTTTTGCGTATTTCTGATTCAAATGAAAAAAAACATTACTGATTAGGTTGGAAGCTTGCTGTAAATGCGGTCATTTGTTTTTTCCAACAATTCAGATAACGTTGAATACTTTATGCAAATGCGGTTGACTGTTTATTCCAACAATTCAGATAACCCTGAATACTTCATGCAAATGTCGTCGAATGTGTTTTCCAATAGTTTAGATGAGCTCGAAAAATTCCTGCAAATGAGGTTAGATATTATTATCAACAACTTTATTCATTCTGGAGCGCATAACTATAACATTCCATATCACTAACGGTTATCAGTTTATGCATTCATGTTTTTCAATAATTAACAAGTCACATGCTTTATCTCTACCCACCCGTTCAGAATATAAAGCGAGAGACTTGCAGCATAACCATTCAGTCTCCAGTTGTGGAAGCCAGCAGACGCGAACCAACTCAGCCTGGGCTCCTGCCAATATCATCACCACCAATAATTATCGTTTTTTTTGTCTTGTGTGCAAATACTACAATCAATAACAGTAAGTACCTTTTTTTTATTCAAGTGTTCATTTCTATTCACATATATTATAGACCTTTTCTATTATATTCAAAGTTTTTCCAAATAATTTAGCCAAGTGTCACCGATTATTCCGAAATTAGCCCTTTTTTTCATTCTATTTTGAGTTTTATCGTAAATAAATCATCCAAGTGGTAATTTTTCATGCTCGATCCTCTATTATCTGCATTTTTCATATTATTCTGAGTTTTTAGGATTAATTTATTCAAGTGTTTAAGGCTCAATCCCGAATTGCTTCTCTTTGCATTTTATTGTATTAGCATGTTGATGTTTTTTTCCTTCTTCTTCTTTTCACCAGATGGATCTCACAAAATTGAATGAAGCTTCACTGATTGAGGAGAGGAAGCCCATCAAGAAGCTCTCCGAACTGCCCATAGGACAACCCCAACCAATAAAGTCAGCCAAAGTTGTTCATTCCAAATTTGGGAAGGCAGTTTTGTTGGAGCTGGAGGAGGCCGTCATATTTCTACCAAATAGGGTCACAGCCCTATATTCACCGCACATCGAAGTGTTTTTGAGTGGAAAATACTCTCTGGTGTTCCGAGGGGAGGTTCAAACTGGAAAGACCAATCCAGCAGCGTCGTTCGAAATTGTAGAGAACTAAAAAAAGTTAGTTGTTTTTTAATTTTTTTTTTGGTGAGATATTTTGAGAGATGGATATCGCAAAAAAATCTGATAATTTGGTGAGCGTTATTAGGAAATTGAGAAAAATTTTGTTTGACAACTTCACTAGTAGAGATGAAAAAATTTGGTTGAATCGTTTGAGGACATATATAAGATTATGTAACAAGGAAAGTCGCAAGAATGATTCGTCCATAGGGGTATTGAGGAAGCTTCAAACGAATATGGGCCATTTCAAACATTTTCGGAATATCATCCAAAATAGACATCGTGGTTTAGAGGTCGGAGGTTGGAAACCTAAATTAAAAAATAGAGTGCAGTGGAGAAATGTAACATCAGGTTTTTCGAGTAGAATCAGAACAGGAATCATTATAAATTTGGTGCACAAGGACTTGGAACAATTTTTCGTAGATGCATTCATCCTATTCAAAATTAAAATCAAAAAGACATTGAAGGAATTTTCAATGATTAAAGTCAACGCTAATTTTTGTGGAGAATTTGTCAAAAAATCAAACAAAGATGAAGAAATTACAGATTTGAAATACTTCAATACTAAGAATGAAATTGTGGACGTATCGACGGATTTACAGCGATGGTTTTGTGATAATGTTCGTGACAAAATTTTCAATAAACTAAGTGAATTTCAAGAACGTGACTCTGGATGGGCTTTGCGTAAAATAGTATCGATGGAAATAAATATTAATAAATTTGAAATGGGAAATGGCTCATCCTTTATTAAACTACCAAAAGAAATTTCCAAAAAGAGAGCATGCTTAAATATAAAGAATACAGACACAGCATGTTTCTATTGGTCAATCATAAGCGCATTGTATCCAGCAAAAACGAATAGAGAGCTCACTTCTTCATATCCATTTTACACGACAGTTCTGAAAACAGAAGATCTAGATGCACCTATGGCTTTTAGCCAAATTCCAAAATTTGAAAAAACCAATGAAATTTCTGTGAACGTATACACATTAGAGTTGAACATAGTGAAGGAACTATCATTCTATACTGTTGCACCAGCCAAGCTTACAAAAAATAAACTAGATAAACATGTCAATTTATTGCTAATACAAAATGAGTACTTTCCAAAAATCAATGATTATGATGCCCTTCCGATTGATGAAAATGATTCTGACATCAAATACCATTATTGTTTAGTCCAAGATTTATCTCGATTATTATCGAATCAACTCAATAAACATGATGGTAAAAAATTTATATGCGATAGATGCATGAATTATTTTCATAGTGAGGAAAAATTGAAAGATCATGAGGTGCTTTGTTCTCAATTGAATCAATGTAAAATCTCTTTTCCAAAATACGATCACATAGAATTCAAAAATTTCACATATAAACAGACTGCTCCTTTCGTTATTTATGCCGACTTTGAATGTCAATTGGAAAATATTGATGATATGGTTTCATCCAAAACTGTCAAATACCAAAAACATGTTGCATACAGCGCAGGGTATTATTTGAAATGTGCATATGATGACTCTCTGTCCTTCTTTAGCAGCCATCGGGGAAATGATTGTATGGATTGGTTTTCCTGTGAAATGGTCAGAATAGCTGAAATGGTGCAATCAAAAATTAAAACAATTGTGCCGATGACTGACTGTCCTCCTCGGGACAAGTGTGGGGCTTCAGTTTGTCATATTTGCGAAAAGTCATTCACAGAGAAAGACACTATCGTATCTGACCATGACCATTTCACAGGGGCGTTCAGGGGGTGGGCACATCAAGCCCCATGCAACGTAAATTTTCGAAAATTGTTTGTAGTGCCTATCGTGTTTCACAATCTGACCGGATATGACTCACATTTCATGATTAGACAGTTGAGCAAGAAGGGTCGCATCAGTATACTTCCAATCAACAAAGAAAAGTACATTTCATTCACTTTATATGACGAAGACACAGACATTAAATTTCGATTTATTGACTCTTTTCGCTTCATGGGAACATCTCTAGACAAATTATCGTCAATAATGGACCGAAAAGACTTGAAAATCATGAAAAAAGAGTTCAATTATTTGAATGACGAAACATTCAGCCTTCTCACCAAGAAGGGCGTCTTTCCCTACGATTACATCGATTGTTTGGAAAAATTGAATGACACTAAACTACCACCTAGAGAATCTTTTTACAATAAATTGAATGACCATCACATTTCCGAAGAGCAGTACGCCCATGCTCAAAATGTATGGTCAGCTTTCAAAATTTCAGACTTGGGAACATATTCAGACATTTATTTAAAGACGGATGTATTATTGTTGGCCGATGTGTTTGAAAATTTTCGGAAGAAATGTATTGCGTCTCATGGGTTAGATTCAGCATGGTACTATACCATGCCTGGATATACCTGGGACGCAATGTTGAAGTACACCAAATGCAAACTTGAATTACTGAATGATGTTGATGAAATTATGTTCATTGAAAGGGCTATACGAGGTGGAATCTCAGTTTGCAGCAGCCGGTACGCGGAGGCCAATAATCTACATATGTCTGATTTCGATCCGAAAGACCCATCAAAATATCTCATGTACTTGGACGTCAATAATCTATATGGATGGGCAATGTCAGAATATTTACCGTTCGGAGGATTTTCTTGGGTGGATGACGTTGAAAATTTTGATGTTATGGCTATCGCAGACAACGCTCCCGAGGGGTATATGTTGCAAGTGGACATAGAATATCCCCGCGAGTTACACAACCAACATAAAGACTTTCCATTCGCTGCCGAACATCGCATACCACCTGGCTCAAAATTGCCAAAATTGATGACGACCCTTTACAACAAAAAAGACTACATTTCACATTACAGAAATTTGAAACAATGTTTATCTAACGGTCTGAAACTAACGAAAATTCACAAAATCTTGAAATTTCATCAGTCTCTATGGCTGCGGTCCTACATTGACCTGAACACTCATTTGAGGACTGCAGCCACAAATGCTTTTGAAAAAAACTTATACAAACTAATGAATAACGCTGTTTTCGGAAAGACCATGGAAAACATTAGAAAACATAGATTAGTGAAACTCGTGAGGTCGTGGGAGGGACGCTACGGAGCCAAAAATCTCATTGCAAGTCCGCAATTCCGTAGCCGAACAATTTTTGAGGAAAACTTGATGGCTGTGGAATTACAGAAAGTTGAAGTCATCTTCAATAAACCCCTGTATGTAGGCATGGTCATTTTGGATTTGTCGAAAATATGCATGTACAACTTCCATTATGACTATATGCTTTCAAAAATGACCATTGAAAACTGCAAATTGCTGTACATGGATACTGATAGTTTTATATATGAACTAAAGTGTAATGATGTATATGCAGAAATGATAAAGACCGATATTTCTAGATTTGATACATCCGAATATGCTGTGGATAATAATTATGGGATTCCTCAAGCAAATAGAAAAAAATTAGGATTCTTAAAGGATGAGGCCAATGGAAAAATCATAACTCATTTTGTAGGGTTACGTTCGAAAATGTATACTTATAAAGTACAAGGAGGTAAGGTTGTAAAAAAGTCTAAAGGGGTGAAAACTAATATTGTGAAGAATAAAATTGGTTTCGAAGACTATTTGGCTTGCTTGAAAGAGTTTAAACAGATAACAACGTGCCAACGCTGTATCCGTTCATATGCCCACAATGTTTTTAGCATTGAACAATCGAAAGTTGCTCTGAGTCCTTATGACGATAAGCGATATTTAATACCAGGTTCTTTTGACACGTTGCCCTGGGGCCATCAGGATGCAAAAGAGTAATTTTTTTTTATTTCGGTTCTTAGATGAAATCTTGTGATACTACTCGAAAATACTGATTGGTTATGTCTTTTCCAGATCATGTCTCCTCCTCTGCGATTGGAAGAACTGAGCATGAAAGTAATCTGCGAGAATATCAAAAATATAACGAGTTTTGTGAATCATTCCATTGCATTGCAATTGATTCCTAGATCATTAGTTAAGGAAATCATAAAAAGTTATAGTTTTTTTCGTTGGAACCACATAGTTGAGAATGTTCAAAATGATGAATCATGTAGACTGGTTTCATTAGAAAACATGTTATATACGAGAGAAATTGACACGAGTCGCTTGAGGAATGCAATTTTATTCACCTCTGATTGGACTCAAGAGTATAGAGAATCATATTATTGCGTTTGGACAAACTTTTATACAATAAAACAGTTGAATTTCGTTTTATGCCATAGTTGCTTAAAATCTCTGATGTTTGTGTTGGAAATGCATAAAATCAATATAAATCTGCACATACTTCGAGACCACTTCCACCTATATTACAAAACAGAAGATTTACACATGTTATATCGTGATAAAAATTTGTGGTGCCAAAATGGTTTTGGACAACTGTTATTTGGACTCAAAGAGAGGTATGAATGTGATATGGATTTACATGTCACTCCACACCTAAGTGTGAATCCATTTGGTCACCCTGATTTCAATAGATTCATCGATTCTAATGATGAAGATTCGGATATTGATTTTTGTTAATTTCGTTTATAACCTTGACTGCTGCTATATCCATCTTTCTGAAATAATCTCCCTAAAGAACAAGATAAAATGAAAAACAACTTTTTTTTTTCACTTCTCTAAATTTTTCATGAGAACTTTGTATTATATCACTTTTTCATTACTGTAAATACTGTATATATATATATTCCTTTATTGCTGTTTGTGGCGTTGATGATTTTCATGCGGAAATTAAAAAACATATTATTGATCTCTGTGCTTTATTTAATTCAAACATTCATTACATTATGAAATGGTCAATTTTAAGGATGATAGTAAAATAAATATTCACGTAGAGCATTTGCATAAATGCTGTCTGGAGATGATGATTGACAAAATCCATCAATTATTTCAGTGAGACTTAAAATAGTTTTATTTTCATTCAACCAGGTGTTGGCAATTTCAGCAACATTAAGATAATAATCATTGAAATCCAAAGCATTTAACATGGCAAGTCGATCAGATACCACATGCATGTGTGTTTGTAAAATTTTGTCAACGTCCTGTTCGTTCAGCGTCATATCGATGACATCTTTGGAAATGGAAACTTGCTTCACACCACTTTCCATAAATTGATATAATTTCACAAAGTGTCCGCACTTTATCACCACAGGATCATGATCATCTGGGTAGCTGCTGCTGCTGCTGTCGTTGCTGATGCTGCTGCTGTCTCCAAAAAAGGTTTGTTTAACTTCACCCAATATATCTATTATTGATGCCCACTCGTAGGTGTTGAATGATATTTGTCGCGGTGAAAACCTTTGTTTCAGAATCACACAGGCGCTGAATTCTCTTGTGGGACTCAGGCCACATCGAATTTCGTAGCAGGGCGTATGGAAGACCATCAATAACAAGGGATTTTCATTTTGAGCTTTGATTTCATACCATGCTAATGTTTCTTTAACGTCGAATTTCTGTTGAGATACAGCCTCATACTTGTTCAAAGAACGATCAATGTCATCGAGAGTTTGCTTGTAATCATCATCATCACCACCACCACTACTTTTACTATCATCGCCATCATCAAACTGAATTTCAACACTGCGGCTACTACTTTCATAACCAATATCATGAGACATTTCGAAAACTAAACTGACGCTGAATGAAGAGAATGTTGTCACTTTTTATACCCCACTCCTCTCCCCCACTGCTGTTGCTGTGTACAGTACATCAGAGTGATGAGGTATGTGTTAGTTTTTCGCTGTGAAAGTGAATTCATGAAAGGCCCCTCAGATATTTCTTGATTTGTGCTCGTTTTCCATATGTTTGCATTATAATTTGTTGGTGGCATCGATCCAGCTGTTGTGTGTATCATCGAATCCCAGCCATTTGACAAACACCTTTTTACCCTTTCTCCTTAAAATTTTTTCCACTAGATAAACATCTAACTGTTTAGTTTTTTGCAATTCTTCAGGATAAAAGGCACCTTTGATCGGTGTACCACGCAAATCCTCCAAAATATACGTAGTAGGTTTCGTAATACGAACTTTGACGATCTTAAATAGTTCAGTAGTCCAATTCGGTGTATAATTCTTTTCGAAAACATGTTTGGCTTTGCTTATTCTCACAATGTCACCGACATTGAATTTTCGAACTCCTGTAATTTTGATGTGATTGTATGTGGATTTGAGAATCTGTTGTTCGTTGATTTTGGTGATGTCACTAGGTTTGCATCTAATAGTCGTATGTTTCGTGTTATTATAATTTTTCGTTATTTCGGGCAAGACATCAATCCAACGGTATGAACCATTCAAACTAAAGTATTTGTACAGTCTTTCCTTCAATGTTCGTATAACACGTTCAGCAATGGCAGCCTTCATTATGGTGTACGTATGGTAATGGTTGATGGAGAACTTTTTCATTAGACTTTGGAACTTTTCGTTGTAGAATTCGGTGCCTTGATCGGTTTGCAAATTTTTGGGAACTCTGTTGTTGGCATGCGATAGGATATCAGCAAATGCTCGAGCAATGTCTGCACCAGTTTTTGATTTCAACGGTCGCGTCCATAGGTACTTAGAAAAACAATCAATCACGACCATTATCAGCTTGTGATCCTTATTAACAGAGGCATAAGGTCGCATTTCGGCTAAATCCATTTGCCATAAATCATCCAAGCCTTTGATGATGATGCGACGTCTCGGGAATTTTTTCCTAGCAGGTTTATGTAATTCATTGACGACCTGGATTTTTTCTGAACTATGTTCTTGCATGTTGAAGGAAGACTGAGAGATATATGATGATGTCCTATAC